TCTGGTCGCTTAGGAGATGAAGTTAAGTTACTGTGATTAACTTGTGAGGAACTTAAGAGACGGGAAGTTACGAAGCTTTTTATACGGGTTAAGATTTTGGAATGGCTGTTTGCTGTCAACTTTGTGGCTATTTTGTCTTCACAACTCTGTCCTATTCCTTATTTATTATCTGTTTCTTCATATAGTCCTTCTCTTCCTGCCTCTTCCTCTTTGGCATTGACGGGGAAAGGTTGCCATGAGGCATTGCAACTCGTCCTCTTACAACGTCGCATTTCGCTCGTAGGCGTTACATAAGGGCCAAAAAAATGTCGTACAAGAAAATGTAAGCGACTGGCGAAAGTGACGTACGGTACCCGTTTTCTGTTTTGGGTCCTCTGGTAGAGTAGGAGAGACCACTTTAAATAGTCTGTTTTCTTGACGTTTGGAAACTTTAGGAGGACGGGCAGGTCATTGACAGGCAAGAGTCGTCATTCAGTGACGCAGCTCAGCCATTGACGGGAGAGAATGGCCGTAAGACCGTAAGGGGGAGCCGGTCGGCCGAGCGGACAGCACACTGGACTTGTCATCCTGTGGTCCTGGGTTCGATCCCAGGCGCCGGCGAGAAAAATGAGCAAAGTTTATTCACCCAATGCCTCTGTTACCTAGCAGTAAAATAGGTACCTGGGTGTTAGTCAGCTGTCACGGGCTGCTTCCTGGGGGTGGAGGCCTGGTCGAGGACCGGGCCGCGGGGACACTAAAAGCCCCGAAATCATCTCAAGATAACCTCAAGAAGATCATTGTAAAACACCCTGATTAGCGCACTCTGAGCTCGCTAAGCTCAGCCAGCTAAGCTCAGCCAGCTAAGCGAGCAGTTCGTTTATCGCACCACGTTTTTGGTAACGTGGGGGCGTTAGCCACACATACACGCCCCACGTTATCTAAAACAATCACAGGAAAAAGGTTATCATGTATAGCCAAACTCAATTACGGGCTCACCATAGCCCGTGCTACATGGACACTTCGTCCTGAGTAGCTAAATCTTTAACAACAATAACATCTAAAACTACTAATATATTACGCTTAAAAAAATAAAAATAAAATAAGTCGTCCGTTTGAAGTATTAGCGCGCGCACGTCTGACGTAATGACGCGGTTTCTGCTGCTTGATCAAGCCTTTCGTATAATTAGCGAAGCCTTAATGGTTTCGCTAAGTTCAAGCGAGTTCACTGCCCAAAAAGGATTAAGGTGATTTTAATTTCGCATTCTTCTCTCCCTCTGTAATTATCATGGTAGCCAATTACTGATAATTTAGAGGTAATTAGACCCTGAGCGGAGGGAACTTTGGGAGGAGGAAGGCTGATTCGCGTATCTTACTCGTTTTTAAATAATTATGAAACTCAAAACCTAAAAAAATATTACGATTGTAGCGACGAAAGCAGTTTAGAGAATTAGCGGATAAAGTTTAAGTTTTATCAATATAGTCTTGAGAGTCTCATGATATCGTTCAAAAGGGGTTAATTAGCAAGTAGATGGAATTAGATCTATTATATAGTGTTCAAAGTGGAATCAGATTTACGGGCTATTCATGCCCGTGCCACCTCTTGGGTGGCTTAATCTCAATCAATCATCTGGAGTAAGATTTATTTAATTAACGAAGCTGAGACTGTAGATTATAAGGGTGTAAGACTCATATTACTTTATGTAATGAGGCAAATTAAACAATTTGTTTGTCAAGAAAAATACACACACACAGATTAGTACGTGAACAAGGGGACACATGTGGAAACTGTGTACCAAAATGAGCCACAGGAACGTTAGAAAGAACTTTTTCAGTGTCAGAGTAGTTAACAGATGGAATGCATTAGGCAGTGATGTGGTGGAGGCTGACTCCATACACAATTTCAAATGTAGATATGATAGAGCCCAATAGGCTCAGGAATCTGCACACCGGTTGATAGTTGAGAGGCGGGACCAAAGAGCCAGAGCTCAACCCCCCACGCAAGCACAACTAATGAGCGCACACACGCACTCGTGTGTGTAAATCGTGTTTAAATTATATAAGTAATGTGGGTAACCTGTTTATTCTCAAGGTGTCCCGTGGGCTTGAGGCAACTAGTGACCTTCCCTAAGCTGCAACCCACAACTATTACCCATCCCCAGAGAGCCCATTCACTCCCCCCTCTCCCTTACCTTCCCTCGCATTCACCCACTTACCTTACCCCAGTCAATCTCCACTTATCCCCCCTTTCTATATACAACATGTTGACCAGACCACACACTAGAAGTTGAAGGGACGACGACGTTTCGGTCCGTCCTGGACCATTCTCAAGTCGATTGTGTCGACTTGTCGATTGTCGATCTCACAATCGACTTGAGAATGGTCCAGGACGGACCGAAACGTCGTCGTCCCTTCAACTTCTAGTGTGTGGTCTGGTCAACATACTTCAGCCACGTTATTGTGACTCATCGCCTGCATATTTACAACATACTCTGTATCATCTATCCTCCTCTTCCTCTCTTGTCTCCTCTCAATTCATCCACCGATAACCTTCTACTCCCTACCTCATTATTCCTCCCTGTTTGGACTCTACATTCCCTCCCTCACTCCCTCACTCCCAGCAAGTAGCTACGCCGACCACTCTGCGTCCTTCGATAAGGTGAAAGTCACTTTATGTAACGCCTTTTTGCGAATTTGTAACCCCAATGTGAGAGTGATTCTTAAACTGCTTTATCTTGCGTTGGGGTTATTCAGTATGTTGGGTACGTTCTGTATGTTTTAAGTATGTTCAGTGTTGAGTATGTTCAGTGTTGAGTATGTTCAGTGTTGAGTAGGTTCAGTATGTGCAGTGTGATGATCTTCATTGTTAATAGTATGTAAATTGTCATCATTAATAATAATAATAATATGCTTAAGGCTAACAATGCCAAAACTGTTGCATAACCTGAAAAAGCATATTTTATTAAATGGCTCCAAATTAAAAAGCATATTTTATTAAATGGCTCCAAATTAAAAAGCATATTTTATTAAATGGCTCCAAATTAAAAAGCATATTTTATTAAATAGCTCCAAATGAAAAAAAAATATTAAATAGCTCCAAATTAAAAAAAAACATAATTTACTAAATGGTTCCAAATTAAAAAACCATTAAAAACCAAAACTCTAAAAGTTATCAGAGGTAAAATAATTGGATATTATTTATCCTGCGCTTGAAGGAGGCCTTCGTATTACGTGTGCTAATTGGTACGTTGTGTGTTTGGTAATTGGATGAGTGTTTACCATTTGCTTTAAGAGGCAATTGGGCATCACGTTCCGTAATTGGACAGAGCGGGCTAATTGGACATTACGTGTCATATGGACACCATAATGTTGTATATTTCGCTCGTTATCTGTCCGCGATTGTGTGATCTTTAGAGCATCTTGTCCGGAACAACGTGTTCAAAACACGTGTGTCATACTGTACATCGTGTGTGTGTGTGTGGTAATTGATGCATTAGTTCTCATTAATTAGTGTATCACTTGTGTTATTAATTGATGTATCACGTGATGGCTGATGCATTACACTGAGTCAGTAATTGATGTATTGTGTCACTAATTGATGTAACATGTATACTAATTGATGCATCATGTTGTGGTACTAATTGATGTATTACATGTGGTAATTGCTATATGAAACGTGGGAATAGAGTCATAATTTCATGAAATAACAGCTTTCATAAGTCTGAAGGCTGTTACTTTACTGGAGGTGATAACTTACTGAAATGGCTACATTACGTGAGATGATTAACTGTGTGTGTGTGTGTGTGTGTGTGTGTGTGTGTGTGTGTGTGTGTGTGTGTGTGTGTGTGTGTGTGTGTGTGTGTGTCTGTGTGTGTTTTCCTGCCCTTCTCATTTGCACATTTGCTAATCTTATGTGTTAATTTGTTCAACGCGTGTGTGTTGATTTCATCAGCACGTGAGCTAATTTTCGCCTTATTGTGCTCATTTGTATTAAACCTTTTCTCAACGCCACAAACATTGTGCTATGCCAAATTAATTAACAGTTTGAATGGCCGAAAAAATTACAATGCTCTATTGGAAAATTAAGAATATTTAATCTTACAAAACAAAGCTAAAATCTAATTTACTTTCTTAGTTTTCTTAACAATTAGCAAGCTACATTTTTATTTATATTTACATATATATTCAAGAGTTCTTAATTCTTGTACAGCCACTAGCATTCATAGCGTTTTGGGCAAGTCCTTAATCCTAATTTTCCCTGGAATACGACCCGCCAAATCGTTTAACAACCAGGTACCCATTCACTGTCGGGTGAACAGAGGCAACAGTTAAAGATTGGCGCCCAGTAAATCCTCCCCGGCCAGGATACGAACCCAGGCCAAAGCGCTTGCGAAACCCCAGGCGAGTGTCTTACCACTTCGCCAAGGGGACTGCTGTTATAGTTAAAAGGTAAGGTAAGGTTGAAAGGAAAGACATGAGGATAAGGATTTGGGATGGGACGGGGGAAAGGAATGGTGTTCAACCACTTGGAAGGTCGGAGATTGAACGCGGATCTGTAATGCAGCGAGACCGTCGCTCTACCGTCCAGGCCACTTGGTTAAACAGTTAGGTAAGTCAACACAGGTATCCCGAGGTAATATTCCTACAAACATAGACCCACACTACAATATCCTCCACATCGTGGTCAAGTCGGTATAGTGCGTGAGCTTTTGGGAGTCCAGGAACTCGAGTTTGATCCTATTAAGCGGCCTCAATGTTTTTATTTAATCAAGAGTTAATCAACTGTTGTGGGTTGCATCATGTACAAGTATTAATACACATTGGCAATGAAGAGTTATTCCCCTTGGGTATTTTGTTGCTAATGTTAGTCTAAAGTATATGAATGGGATTGGGGGGTTATAGATAGGAGCTGCCTCGTATGGGCCAATAGGCCTTCTGCAGTTACCTTTGTTCTTATGTTCTTATGTAAATTTCTCCTAATTAATATGATTCTCTGAATTGTAAATGTATTTTTATTCTTTCAGATTGTGGTCCTTGTGGTTAGCTTGGCCGCCTGCGGGCTGGCGGACAAGCTGCCTTCCTCTGGGGGCTCCACTCAGGTATGGTGGGGATGGAGGTGGTTGGTAGGGTGTGGCTGGTGTGGTGCAGTGAGGTGTGGCTGGAATGGTGCGGTGGGGTGTGGCTGGTATGGTGTAGTGGGGTGTGGCTGGTATGGTGGGGTGGGGTGTGGCTAGTATGGTGTAGTGGGGTGTGGCTGGTATGGTGCAGTGAGGTGTGTGGCTGGTATGGTGAGGTGGGGGTGTGGCTGGTATGGTGGGGTGGGGGTGTGGTGTGGCTGGTATGGTATGGAAGTATGACTCTACTGTCTACTCCAACAGTCACCTAACAATAATTTCCTTAATTTCAAAACAATATAACATTAAAAGTAACTAGTCATGCTTTCCCTTATCTCCTAATTTTAATAATACAAAATCAAGTTATCGCTAACCAAATCTTGTTTTCTAGGTACTCGCTCGAACAGTCAGTGTCAAAACACCAGATAGAGTCTCGAACGTCATCTCACATTTCACCCCTGCCGACCACCGATACGAAGCAACCGGGAGTGTTGTCATTGACAGGGCTCCGTCAGCAACTTCGGCGGCAAGTTTGCCTCGGGCATCTGTCAAGCCTCCGAGTCCATCACCGGCGCAAACTTACGGCGCTCCGTCCAGTCCAGTTCCTGCAGCCAGGGCATCTTCTCCCTCAGCTTCCAAATTAGCTCTCACCCGCACCGTTTCAGTCAAGACCCCTGAGAGAGTCTCCAATGTTATCTCTCACTTCACTCCTGCAGACCATAGGTACGATGCCACTGGATCTGTCGTCATTAACAGAGGTTCGTCACATCAAGCTTCTTTAGCAACTCAAGCATTCCTCAGCGGGTCCGGTGCACGAAGTATTCAAGCTGCTCCAGTTCGATCTGTTCCTGCTCCAGCTGCCCCTGCTCCTGCTCCAGCTGCTCCAGTTAGAGTATCAGCACCTGCTGCTTCTCAGTTAGCTCTCAAGCGCACTGTCTCGGTCAAGACCCCAGAGAGAGTCTCCAATGTTATCTCTCACTTCACTCCAGCAGACCACCGGTACGATGCCACTGGATCGGTCGTCATTACAAGAGGCTCATCAGCTCAAACGTCTTCAGCAAGTCAAGCTTTCCTCAGCGGATCCGGTGGTCGAAAGGTTCAAGCTGCTCCTGCTGCCCCAGCCCCAGCTGCTCCAGTTCGTGTTTCAGCACCTGCTCAAGCCGTCTTTGTTGCTCGACCTGCTGTTTCTGCTTCTGCCTCGCAGTTAGCTCTCAAGCGCACCGTCTCAGTCAAGACCCCAGAGAGAGTCTCCAACGTTATCTCTCACTTCACTCCAGCAGACCACAGGTACGATGCCACTGGATCGGTCGTCATTACAAGAGGCTCATCAGCTCAAACTTCTTCAGCAAGTCAAGCTTTCCTCAGCGGATCCGGTGCACGAAGTATTCAAGCTGCTCCTGCTCCAGCTGCTCCAGTTCGATCTGTTCCTGCAGCCCCTGCCCCAGCTCCAGCTGCTCCAGTTAAAGTTTCAGCACCTGCTCAAGCTGTCTTTGCTGCTCGACCTGCCGCTTCTGCTTCTGCTTCTCAATTGGCTCTCACCCGTACCGTCTCCGTCAAGACCCCAGAGAGAGTCTCCAATGTTATCTCTCACTTCACTCCAGCAGACCACCGGTACGATGCCACTGGATCTGTCGTCATTACTAGAGGTTCATCAGCTCAAACGTCTTCAGCAAGTCAAGCTTTCCTCAGTGGATCCGGTGCACGAAGTATTCAAGCTGCTCCTGCTCCAGCTGCTCCAGTTCGAGTTGTTCCTGTGGCCCCTGCCCCAGCTGCTCCAGTTCGAGTTTCAGCACCTGCTCAAGCTGTCTTTGCTGCTCGACCTGCTGCATCTGCTTCAGGATCTGCCTCTCAGTTGGCTCTCACCCGCACCGTCTCCGTCAAGACCCCAGAAAGAGTCTCAAATGTTATCTCTCACTTCACTCCTGCAGACCACAGGTACGATGCCACTGGATCTGTCGTCATTACTAGAGGCTCATCAGCTCAAACTTCTTCAGCAAGTCAAGCTTTCCTAAGCGGGTCCGGTGGTCGAAAGGTTCAAGCTGCCCCTGCTCCAGCTGCTCCAGTTCGAGCTGCTCCTGCCCCAGCTCCAGCTGCTCCAGTTCGTGTTTCAGCACCCGCTCAAGCCGCCTTTGCTGCTCGACCTGCTGCTTCTGCCTCTCAGTTGGCTCTCAAACGCACTGTCTCCGTCAAGACCCCGGAGAGAGTCTCCAATGTTATCTCTCACTTCACTCCTGCAGACCACAGGTACGATGCCACTGGATCTGTCGTCATTACAAGAGGCTCATCAGCTCAAACTTCTTCAGCAAGTCAAGCTTTCCTCAGCGGATCCGGTGGTCGAAAGGTTCAAGCTGCTCCAGTTCGAGCTGCTCCTGCTGCCCCAGCTCCAGCTGCTCCAGTTCGAGCTGCTCCAGCTCCTACTCAAGCCGTCTTTACTGCCCAACCTGCTGCTGCTGCTGCTGTTGCTGCTTCAGGTTCTGGTTCTCAATTGGATCTCACCCGAACTGTTTCTGTCAAGTCGCCAGAGAGGGCCTCTAATGTTATCTCGCACTTCACTCCCGCAGAACATAAGTACGAGGCCACTGGATCTGTCACTATTTCCAAATCTGCAGGTGGATCTGGTCGACTGTCGTCTGCAGGTGCTTCCAGGCTCTCATCTAGTGCCTTTGGCCTAGCATCAGGGGGTGGCAGCGGTCAGTCGTATGCTAGTGCCAGTGGGCAAGCATCAGGCAGTGGCTATGGACAGGTGTCAACTAGCTCAAGCAGACAAGCATCAGCCTCATCTTCATCTCAGACAGCAGAATTTCAACGCTCGCAGGCGGCAGCAGCAGCAGCAGAAGAATTACAACGTTCCCAGGCAGCTGCAGCTGCAGCAGCAGAATTTCAACGCTCCCAGGCAGCAGCAGCAGCAGCAGCGGCAGCAGCATCTAGACGTTCTCAGGCCGCAGCAGAAACAGCAGCAGCGGCAGCAGAATCCAGGCGATCTCAGGAAGCAGCAGCAGCAGCGGCAGCAGCAGCAGCATCCAGGCGTTCTCAGGCAGCAGCAGCAGCAGAAACAGCAGCAGCATCCAGGCGGTCTCAGGAAGCAGCAGCAGCAGCAGCAGCAGCATCTCAACGTTCTCAGGCGTCATCATCATCATCTTCATCCTCGGGATCATCTCAGTCCTTCACATACCGTCTAGCCGCTCCATATGAGGGAGGAAGCTCCGTTTCTTCGGCTGATCTGTTGGCCGAGTTGGAGGCGTTCAGAGCCGATGCAGCTAGATCCGGCGTTAAAATTACTCAGGATGCCCGAACAAGACAAGCTGACAGTACAAGCGTAAGTATTCGTTTAAAGAAAGTAAAAACTTAGCCTATATGCATTTAGTAATATATTAATTATGGAGAGTTTGAGACAGAGGACAGATGACGGATCCATCAACAACGAATATACAGTTCTACTTTATGCATAAGAACATAATTATGGAAACTCCAGAAAGTCTATTAGCCTATACGAGGTAGCATCTATATGCAATACTTAAAAAAAAAAAATAAAAACATAATAATTTCGAAACATATTGTACAAACTAACCTGCTTGTATTCCCAGGGCTCAGACCCATACAGCTTCAGCGTGCGAGTGGAGGATCACGACACCACAAATTACCAGAGTCGAGATGAGTGGGTGGGAGCTGATGGCATTACCTATGGCTGGTACACTGTCTTGCTCCCTGACGCCTACTTATACAACTACTCCTACATTGCTCACCCTGTTAAAGGCTACCAGGTACACCTTGCAGGAGGCTCAGTATAGCCCCCGACCTCCTTCTCTCCAACTCTCACATTTCTTTGTCTTTAAATCTTTAAACCAAAAAATAAAAAAAAAGAGTCCATTAAAGAAATGCTCCTTGCCATGCCTTTGCTCTTGTTAAACGACGAAAGTTAACTCTATATACAATTTCTCTTTTTCATTATTTCCTTATTTCCTAAAATTCTGAGAGCTTCAAACTCATTCCCATTCTCTATATCTTGGCTTTGTACAATACAATTACAAGATGGCTTTAAGTCCCTGTACTCTGAACAGGTGTTTGAACACCATTCAAAACAAGTTCCACTCATGGACATCGAACAATACCCCCTCACTTGTTGAGTAAAACTATATATATACCAGTACAAATTTAAAAAAAATACATTTCTATGCAAAATATAAAAATATGTAATTTTTTTGACTTGATGGAAGGGATGAGAGTCAGGTAAGAAATTAATGACGCAGTTATTATACATGTTTGTTGCAGCTTTGTAATGTCACCGGTAGATGGCGTCTTCTCAGATTGTCTGGGGAGTATCTGATAGCTACAACGAAGGGCCTTAGGTGGGGGGGGGGGCCTTGTGAAGTGACAAATTGATTCAGGAATTGCCCTTGAGGATCTTGAGGAATGACAGATTGATAGAGCAGTGCTCTTTCAAGAGAGAGAGAGAGATAACTCAGTTCCATCAACTCCCATTACGTTCTGTAAATCATAATTTTTTCCTCAAATACTAGGCATGAAATATTGGTTAAATCATTACTTCTTGATAATGAAGAGGAACTGCCTTCCTCACCGTCATAAGTAAAGTCTGGCGGTCCTCAGATGAGCTAAGTTCAGAGCTCGATCAGTTTTCTGAAGTCGTGCTGGAGAGTTTTCCCAGACACCGAGGAACGCTTTAAGACTGATGGCCAAATTATGGTAAAGTGTGTGCCAATATTCTATATTTGAAATAATTCTTAGTGTTAATCGATGAGCAGTAAAATAAGGTACAGTGAAAATGTATTAATAATACATTTTTAGTATGTGTGTATATATATGTGTGAGTGTGTGCATGTAATCCTCCAAAAGAGAGGGTAACATGGTATTAGCTATTTTTAAAACATTTTGACCGACTCCCCAAGAAGACAAGAAAAAACTATTTTCAGGTGATATGGTTCCCGCCATCGCAGTTGAGATTCCCACTTGACCCGCTTCCTTTCACTAGCCGTTGTGTCTAACTCTCCTGCCAATCTTTACAGGTGAAGGTGACCCGCAAGGACTCTGGTGTCGCCCTCAAGCCCGTCGAAGCAGACATCTTTGCTCCAGCAACGATCTTCTCGAACCAGGGTATCACCCGACTTGCTGACTTCGCAGTTTCCGGAGTCAACAACGATTACGAATCCGAAGAAAACATGAACTTTGATGAGAGTGCTTCGATCACTTTTGCCAACTCTTTGGCAGAGGCTGAGAAAGTTACGAGGTCACAGTCTTCGTCGTCCAGGCCAGCAGTTTCTCTAGGCCCTGCTAGTCACTTGTGCGGCTTCCGAATTGTTCGTGAATATGGCACTGCCGGCTCACGCACTCTCCCTATACCTTCAGGCTCAATTCTATGCGGCTTCGGTCAGTCGGATGGTCAACGCTCTGCTGTATCCAAAGCATTTGCTAGTGGAGCCTCCGCTGGCTCTGATGTTCAGAGCTTGAAGACTTCAGGGAGCAGCTTCTCTTCAAAACAAGAATCAGGTTCGGGGTCCATCCGTGCTTCATCTAGTGGTTTCTCTTCTGGATCTGGTGCCATTACATCTGGATCTTCAAGTTCTTCATCTTCTCAGTCATCTGGATTTGGATCAAGTAGCTTCTCGGGATCATCAGCATCTTCTGGATCTTCAGCCTTCTCTGGCTCTGCAGCATCTTCTGGCTCTGCCGCGGCTTTTGGCTCTGCCGCTGCTTCTGGCTCTGCAGCTGCTTCTGGCTCCTCCTCCAGCAGTTTTGGTGGAGCTGCAAGTAGATCAGGCTCAACTGGGTCTTCATCAAGTGGCTCATCCTCTAGATTCGCAAGCGCATCTGGCCGTGGAGCTGAACAAGAAGAATCCGATAATTCATCTGAAGAAAGCCAGAGCTCGTCATTTAGCAGCGTATCCTCAAGTTCTGGATCCTCTGGTTCATTCGGTGGATTCTCCTCTGCGTCAGGCCAACGAAGATCATCATCTAGCAGCTTCTCCTCAGGATCTACCAGCGGAGGATCAGCATTTGGCAGTCAATCGTCAGCTGGTGCGTCTCTCTCACGCTCTGTTTCAGTCAAATCCCCTCAACGAGTGTCAAGTGTGATCTCACACTTCACTCCCGCTGAACATATTTATGAAGCAACTGGAAGCGTTAATATCGACTCTTCAAGACGGGCATCCAGTGGCCCCGCGAGGTCTGTCTTTGTGTCCACGGCACCTGCACAGCCTGCCCTTGTCTCCTTCAGCAAACCAGCCGTTTCAACTGCTGGGTCATCTCAGTTGGCACTTTCCCGTACGGTCTCTGTCAGAACGCCCGAAAGAGCTTCCAATGTTATATCACATTTTACTCCTGCTGACCACAGATACGAGGCCACCGGATCTGTCACAATCAACAGAGCGCCTAAAGTCCAGGCTTCCTCTAGTGTGGCCCAAGTCCGCGCTGTACCTGCTCCAGCACCTGCCAGACCAGTTTCTGTAGCCCCGAAACCTTCTGCGTCTCAACTGGCGCTCACTCGCACCGTCTCCGTCAAGACCCCGGAGAGAGCCTCCAGTGTTATCTCTCACTTCCTTCCCGCGGACCACAGGTACGAGGCCACTGGATCCGTCAGCATTAGCAGAGGCTCCTCGTCAGCTCAAGCTTCTTCAGCAAATCGTGGTGTCTCAAGCGCACCAAGCGCCCCAGCTTCACCCGCACCACGTACCCTACCTCAGGCGGTTCCAGCTCGTGGGTACGGTCCTCCTGCCGCCCAAGCTGCTCCACGTACCCCTTCTGCGTCACCCTCCCAGTTGGCTCTCACTCGCACAGTCTCTGTCAAGACCCCGGAGAGAGCCTCCAATGTTATCTCTCACTTTACTCCAGCAGACCACAAGTACGAAGCCACTGGATCCGTCACCATCAACAGGTCATCGGCTTAAACAATTCATTTGCGTCACTTAAACGAGTGACAGCCTTTTCCAGCGGAAAGTTTCACTACCAGTAGCTTAGAAAATTATAGTTATACGCAAATATTTAAATATATGTGAATAATTTTCAGGGAAGCTCACTAATATTTAGGTAACACCGGAAACCATTCCCAACTCCACGAGCTGCAATTAAAAGTATCTTTCTTAGTAATTTAGCTGTTAATTGTACGATCCGTCGTAGTCTCAATTATCCCTAACAAACAGCTAGGATTTTAGTGATTTTCCTTCGACTTTTCTTCCTGATTTTCCTCACTCTGCGACATGTCTTACATTGCACTAACTATACTGTGTGGGCTTGGTGGTGTGGGTAACGTAACCTGAATTTCTTCTTAATTTTCCTGTAAACATTGATGATCTGTTAATCCATTAATTCCTTTGATCTGACTGTAGCTTGATTCAACATTTGAGATGCTCATGAAGTCATTGTACGAATGACTGACAGACTACGAATCCGTGACGTCATATTCATTATTTATAGAGTGACATCTCTCATAGGGTAAATATTTATTTATTGTACAATTCTCTTTCTCACGTAATACGATAAAGTGATAATAAAAGATGAAGAAAGTAAATATGTATCATTTCTCACCTTTCTCAACCCCAAAGGTTCTGACCTACACTCTCACTCTCTCTCACCCACCCCTTGATTCTCACCGTTCTCTCTCTCACCCCTTGATTCTCCCCGTTCTCTCTCTCACCCCACTAAAATTTTCCCCCCTATCCAATAGCTCTTCCACTCTCCTTCTCCCCAAATAGATTTCACCTCCCCCTCTCATACAATAGATCTGCCCTCCCCCACTCCCCCAATAGATCTCACCTCCCCCCAATCATCAGCGAATTAAACGACCAGAAATCCACGCTAATCGCCACCTTTAACAAACCTTTCGTGCCAAAATTGGACCTTTGCAAACACCTTAAGTTTCAGGGTGTGGAGTAACTGAGTGGTCTACGCTCTCGTCTCGCAATCGAGGGGGTTCAATAGCAAGGAAGAACAGAAACGGTTTTACCTTTCATCTGATGCCTCCTTTTCACCTAGCAGTAAAAATAAACATCCCGGAGTTAAGGAACGGTTGTGGGACTTCGGTGAGCCAAAGTACATTTTTTATTTTCTGTCCCCGACAATGGGGGAGAAAATAACTTTTATATCATAAAAAAATCTTCTTCCATCTATCAGTTTGAAATGAAGTTTCTAATTGTTAAATATAATCGGTTGATACGCTACTGCTGCGTATTTCGGCAGGTGAAAAGTGGAAGCGTAAATTTAAACTCCGGTAGTACCTTCTTTTAAAAAAAATAGAAAAAAGTAAAGGATCTGGGGAGTAAGGGATGGATGAGGGGGAATAGTGTAAGGAATAAGCAGAAGGAAAGAGAGTGTGAGGTATGAGGATAAGTGGGCATTTTATATAAGGGATGAGGAAAAGGGAGGATAGTATAAGCGAAGAGGAGAAATGGATAGTATCAAGGATGAGAGAAGGATAAGCTGAGGCCACCCAAAGAATTACACACAATACTGAATACTTCAACAGCATTAACCACTGTATTGTACCATTAACCACTGTATGTTATTGTACCACTACAATAACATACATTACATCTTCACAAGGATATAGTATGACTCTACCAAGCAACTCCAAACATCAAAATATATATTTCACACCTCATTTCCCCTCTTTCCAAGTGCACGAATTACCAAAAAGATCTTGTTTTTATATATATAAATTATACAAATCCCGAAACAAAATGACTAAAAGATGGACTCAGGTTGGGTTATTTGACCAAAAAAAAAGCACACATCAGGTTCTGCCTAGATATAATCTGCTCCATTGATGCTGACAGGCATCAATGTATTGATGATGATGAATGTTCCTGACTAGAAATCAAGCCAGGAGATGATTGATGTAAATCCCTCCGGCTTCACAGTTCACTGACTCGGTTTTTTTCTTTTGCAAGACAAATTTTCCATTGGCGAATCACCAGGTACAGATTAACCCCCCCCCCCACACAATAGATATCAAGTTCAATGTAACATAAATGAATGTATACAGGGGATAAAAATGCAATGCAACGTTATGCAATATAAAAAAAGTACCGTTGTATTTATTTTCACGGTATCCGTTGTATTTTCACTGTATCGGCCTCGAGAGGTTAGGTGTGTTGCTTCGGCTTCGTACGGTTCTGGTTAAGCCAAACAGTCGTTCTTTTTTACGGAGTGTCATATCGAGAGAACGGACTGGAGCCGAGACGAGTGGCGTGCCGCGGGGGATGTGTCTTAAATCCCTTTTTCTTATCCGGATAAATTATATCGATAACGGACTATATATAAACCGTGCAGGGAAGGAGCTCCCCAGTGCTGCTAAACCGGATTATTAATCCTTAATATCTCAACTACTAAACCGGATTATTATTTACTATCCCAGCTGCTAACCGGATTATTATTTACTACTATCTCAGCTGCATAACCGGATTATTAATCAGTAAAAATCCCAGCTCCTCTACTGCCCCCATATCCCAGCACGTATCCTAATATCCCTGGTATTATCCCGTCCTCCTATCCCTTCTGTAATCCTGACCTCCTATCCGTGCTCTTATCCCTTTCATATGCTGTATAGTCTTACTGGTTTAGCATTTTCTCATGATAATTAATCACCTTAATTACCTGGGAGAAAAAAAGAGTAACAACTTTACTGTAATTGTTAGTTTTCACTTCTAGTAAAACTCGGCAAATTGGGCTAATAACGTGTGAATTTCTATGTAGAAATAAAGAGGAAATCTTTTCATAACACACAAAGAGACAGATAAAGATGGAGTGATACAGGAAAAAACACAGAGACAGAGAAACCGACAGAGAGACAGACTGCCGGAAAGCAGGCATATAGACAGTCTAGTATGTCTGTCACTGGCTCTTTGCAGGAAAGGGTGGAACAGTCAACACGTGGGTCATGGGACGGAGTGACCAGAGTGTCTGATTCTCTCTCTTATAATACCATTAATAACACCAAAGGCGCCGTCAGTATGTTTTCAGGATTAATGAAGTGTTACAAAATATTAAACAGTTTACCCATTGGCTTAGCAACTGTGGGAGAATTGCCTATTTATGCTGTCTGAGGCATAACATGATGAATTTTTTGTAAATTTTCCCCAGATCAGTGCTTAATGTTTTATATTACTATGAGAAAAAGTGAAATATTATTTTCAAAATACTTAGCAAGGGGAGGCAGCGCCCAGTGCCAAAATCAGTCATGATGTCTATCATACGTTCAATGGCACACTGTTCCCTCTTACATTATGATGACCCCAAATGGACCATGTTGGGCGTGTACCCCACAGGTATCATGGTGCAAAGTTGAGTGGGGCTACCCCAAGTGTCTGGTCCTCAATCTCAGACAGATATTTCCCATTATAGATATAGATGAAGGAATTTATTTACAACGTATGTATTGCAAATATATTCAGACAAAACTGAAACGATAAATTATTGTTTTCAATTCCAGGAAATGCATTTTGCAAATTGCTTACTTTTCTCGTCAGTCTTCAATAAAATAAATCTCTGCTAATTTCAACTAATGCATTCCAGCAAAACATTTGTCATCTGAATATTGGTATATATATATATATATATATATATATATATATATATATATATATATATATATATATATATATATATATATATATATAAGATGCTTGGGTGACAGCTTCTCCTCCATATCAACCTACCCTGGCTTTGCGCCCTGGAGAGGTCACTTCAGACCGACAAGAAGATCGCAACTCCATAGTCTCCTGGACAAACGCGAAGGTTTGTCCAGAGAGTTGAAGATGAAGATTTTGGACGATGACACTATAGCTGGCTCCTTAAACCCTCTCTTTGCTGACACAAGACAAATAAAGAAACAAAGGAGAAAACCTAGCTCTCTCCCTGTTCCTCTCTAAGTGTGAAATCGCCTCCTCAAACCCAAAGACAAATCCGTCTTCATGAAGCATTAGTGGTTTTATCAGGACTACTGGCTTTTGTAAGATGAATGTCACTGTGCAACAAACTCATCCCTTCTGTGCAAAATTAAATTCAAGTATGTTGAGGCTGCGAAATGTGAATGATTCTATTTCTCCAAAAATTTAATAAATAGCCTCTTAAATTTTAATTTGATAAATATTGTTAAATAATTCTTTCAACCCAATTTGATCCCAAATGTGTTCGTTAGTCAACTCTAAACACTTAAAATAAAAGATTGAAAAACCTGAGAGAGTTAATTCAACCGCATTGCGCAAAATCATATAAATATGGGATTTTTTAAGACATATTTTACCATGGAACAAAGATAACTTATATTTAGAATTAGAAGCTTTGTTCGTAAATGATTCGTTCAAATCATAACATTTGTCGCTCGAGTGAAGAGCTGTAAATTGTAAATAAACTTGTAAGTTACAAGTAGTTACCTACTAATATGATACTTATATTTGCAGACCAAATAACAAACTAGAATTATAAAACTTACAAAGGCTCAGAAAGACTTGTTTATAGAAGCTAGAGATTTCGATACTAATACAAGTTTCTAAGCATAACGCGACTTTGAAGCTAGAAAGACATTTGAAAAAAAATTAGGAATAGCCTTTTACAAGGGCATTTTTTCTTTTTATCTAAAATTAATGTTATTCAACTTATTGACGCCTTTCACAACTTTGAATAATTACCAGATATCATAATACGGCAGCAACTGGTGTTCATTTTAATACTTATGACCCAGAATCACAACGAGTCTATTGAACTACCGCGTCCCAAGGGCTGTTATCATGGAGCGTCCATCCTGCTCATACACAAGACTCCACAGAAGCACGTTTAGCACGCCAGCAAGTCCCTCTCTCCCTGGGGTTTGTTGTATCTTTAAAACATAGCGATGAAAACCATACAGAAATAGGAACATACCTCAAAACTTGGTGGATTTGAGTCCCTCGATGATCAACCGGCCCTTACCTGTAATGGAAAGAAAGCGAATTATTTATGGGCACTAATTAATTAATTAAATAAATTTACACATTTCAATCCTCATATATCATATAGAAGTCAACACCTGATCAATCATATTTTAATCCATATATTTATAAACAGCTTGGGTGAAGGTGACACTTGATGATCGAGTAGTTGCTTACCTTGCCACTCGAAGAGGGCGCTGAGGTACCTAGATTACAGGTGTCAGACGAGGGCGCGTGCTTGACCCAACACTGCCTACGACAACACCCACGTACAGAACAAGCAGCTTATCCTGTCCTGATGGCTCGTTTAATCCTCACATAAACAAAGTGCACTTTTATAGGTCCTTACTAGAGAAGGAACGAGTAGTTAAACTACGCTCGTCTCTGGTAACCTGTGTCCGTCACTCAGACCACAGAACAACCATCAGTAATCATCAGTGACCCGCGGAAGTAAAGAGTCGACAGAGTTCCCTTTCGAGGTTCGAAGCCCCCGCTGATGAACCCACTCGAAGCCAAGTGGCAACGCGACCTCATTAACAAAGACCAAATGCTCGTTAATTCACGTTGATCTCGCTAACGAGCATTTTGGTCTTTCTTAAT